AGAAGGGCTAGCTCGTCTTTGTCCTGGAGCCGAAAATCTTGGCTCATCAGGTACACCTTACACTTGGGCCTTAGAATGCTTTAGAATGCCTTAGACAAATCTGACGAATGAAGCGATTGCCAGCTCAGAGAAAGCTAAGCAAAGTGCTTAGTGCTCAGGGCGTGGGCCGCAGAAAACAAATTCAGTGGTCACCGATGTGAGCTGAAAAGGATCCCTTGACCGTATGCCGGGAATCTTCCCTGGGAACCCGGAGGGAAATGTCTGAACTTGTGTTGCTGCTCATATATGTTTTCCTCGAAGACGCGTGCAAATCCCTCGCTTCAGGTATCTTCGCATCCTTGGCCAGGAGCTGAGCTGAAGGAGGGGCAACCATAAGGCCAGAGGAGAAATGCTGTGCTTCGGGATAGATGCCCACGGAAAGGGGCATTAGCCAAGCGACCGCACTGGAGTGTGCGTGCGTGCTTGCATGCCTGCTACGTGTGTGGGTGTGTGTGCGCGGGTGCGCGGGTGCGCGGGTGCGCGGATGCGCGTGCGTGTGTGCGTGCGTGTGTGCGTGGGCGTGGGCGTGGGCGTGGGCGTGGGCGTGGGCGTGGGGGTGGGGGCGTGTGTGTGTGGGCGTGTGTGTGTGTGTGTGGGTGCGTGCGTGCGTGCGTGCGTGCGTGTGTGTGTGTGTGTGTGTGTGAGTGAGTGAGTGATTAATTAAGTGAGTGACTGTGTGTGTGTGTGGGTGCGTTTGTGTGTGTGTGTGTGTGTCTGTGTGTGTCTGTGTGTGTCTGTGTGTGTCTGTGTGTGTCTGTGTGTGTCTGTGTGTGTCTGTGTGTGTCTGTGTGTGTGTGTGTGGTGTGTGTGTGTGGTGTGTGTGTGTGTGTGTGTCTGTGTGCGTGCGTGTGCGTGCGTGCGTGTGTGTGTGCGTGCGTGTGTGTGTCTGTGTGTGTGTGTGTGAGCGTGAGCGTGTGCTCCGCGCAGGCGTGTGTGTGTGTGTGTGTGTGCTTGCTTGCTGGCGTGCTTGCGTGCTTTGCGTGCTCGGGTGCTTGGGTGCTTGCGTGTCTGCATGCTTGTGTGTGTGTGAGTGTGTATTTCCTGCTTTGTTTGTTCGTTTGTTTGTTGATGTGTGTGTGTGTGTCTTTGCGTGTTTGCTGCTTGCTTGCTTGTTTCTGTTTTATTCTTTGTTTGGTTTTGGGTTTGTTTGTTTGTTTGTTTGCTTGTTTGCTTTGCTTCGCTTTGCTTCGCTTTGCTTTGTTTTGCTTTGTGTTGCTTTGCTTTGCTTTGCTTGTTTGTGTGTTTGTGTGTTTGTGTGTGTGTGTGTCTGTGTGTGTCTGTGTGTGTCTCTGTGTCTGTGTGTCTCTGTGTGTCTCTGTGTGTCTCTGTGTGTCTGTGTGTCTGTGTGTCTGTGTGTCTGTGTCTGTGTATTTGTGTGTGTGTGCTTTTGTTTGTGTCTTTATTTGTGTCTTTATTTGGTTTTTTGTTTGGTTGGTTGGTTTGGTGTGTGTGTGTGACAAACAATTTGCATTGCGATGCCTTCTTCAGGTCAACAAGAAGCTTACCATTTGTAGGTCTTATGTGCGACCTGCTTTCGACAAAGCAACTCCTCGCTTGCAGTTTACCCTGGCATCTCAGGTGTCTTTCGACTAGCTCGTCTTGCCACGAGCCCAGCAATGTGTAGTTTGCTGCTGGAAAGCGCGTGCGCTATCTACGCAACAGCCAGTATGTTTTGGCTCGCATAGGCCGGAGCTTGACCTACGGTCAAAGGGATTTGTTGGGGCATGCATAAGACAAGAAGCCGGCGTAGTGAACTGAAGTGGTGAACGCTTAGTTCTTGTGGAGGGTAAATTGGAAATCCCTCCTCTCAACCACCTGTACCACCCACCCGCTCCACTCACCCACTCGCCCACTGAGTGCCACATCCAAGGTGAAATTTATGAACAAGCCCAAGGCGGGCCGCGTTGCGAGCATTAGCAGCCATGCACCAGGCTAATGGGCGAGCTGCCAACACCAGCTTCGGGTTGTTTGACCACATGTTGAAACAGCATCCAGGGACATCCAGGGAAAAAGCAACAAAAACGTAAACAAAAGGCAAAGTGAGCTTTATCGAAGCCTTGAGTGTTTGTAACGGTGAGTTCACCTTCGAGCCGAAGGCAAAGCCAACTGGAACGTGACCCAACGGATTCTTGGCCAGGCGCTTCGCAGGCTGCGGACGATGCCCTTCGACGGCAATGCCTTCGTTTCCGCCTACATGGCTGTGGGTCAAAACCAATGGTACCAATTTGGAGTAGGTGTACCACCCATTTTAGTCTATTTTAGTGGGGATTGGGATGTTCACTGGGGATACGGGATTTTGATCCATGTGGTTTGTGTGTTTTTTGTTTTGGGTGTGCGTTGGGTGTGCATGTGTTTTTGAGGAGTACCACCCCACCCCCCCCAAGCTCTTCCGGTTGGTTTGAAGGGAGGCCCAAAGAAAAAAACATGTGTGTGTGTGTCTTTTTGTGTGTTGAGGGTTCCCTGTTGGGCTGGTCTTCGAGAGGATGCGAATGCAACCCAGCTATTTGGGGGTATCCAACTCTTAGAGAATCACCTATTTGGAAATCCCCACGACGCGAGCCCTTGCAGATCGAACTGTTTCACGTGCAAAGAAACAAAAAGAGAGTGATGCCCATGCAGGATCACATCACCACCAGCGCAAAACTCAGGCTCCTGGCAATCGTGGACTCCTTTGCCGACCTCTTCTGGTCTTTCCTGGTGGTTTGCAGCTGAGTTGGGTTTCGCATTCGGGAGAGAGGGGACCATGAAGGGGCAGGGGAAGATCTGTTCGTGGGATGCTTGAGCTTGAGGTTCACGGTGATGTCCGTTGCTTTTTGCTTTGGACCCTGTCGTGACTCAGGGCAAACAGAGTTGCAGCAATTTGTGTTTTTACGCGAGCTGCGGAATACTACTTGCGGCCCGAGGTTGTCCAAGGTTGACACCTTTGGTTTCCCTCGTTGCCTTACCAACCAAATGTTTTTTTGTTGGGGGGCACCCTTTTTTGGTGGTTTGAAAGGGACACCAAAAGGAAGACCTATCTCGTGGTTTTTTGTTTTTTTTGGGGTGGTCTCCCAAAAAGACGCCGAGCGGGTTCCGTCAGCCCAGCTTTCTACAGCTTCTATGACGTGTGACGTGAGGTGATCCTCATCGTTTTCGTCTACGGCGTCTTCCTCTCCGAAGCGGCAGCCCTTTCCTTGGCCCCCTTTTCGGGAAAAAACGGCTGCAATGCAGCGCGGGGTCTTGTCCATTTGCTCGCCATTCCAGTTAGATAGGGGAACATATGTGGAAGTTTGGAATGTCCCCCCATGTTTTCCCTAAACCAGCGGTAGACCGCCTTTTTGGCTCTACCTTTCTCACCGAGATGCATACTACACCGTGGCCGCCCAACCACTGGCAGATGCACAACCAACTATCATAAGAGCGACTGAGCGCGGAGAAAAGCGCGCTGAGCGCAGAAAGCACAAAGGCTCAGCAGAACCGCTGCTGCACGAGCACTCACAACAGACCCTGTCCATTGTGCACCTGTAGTTCCACCCCTTTAGTCGCACATGGCTCAGTCGAAACAGTATTGTTCGAAGGCCTTGGCCAGAGCTAAGAGTCCACCAAGAGTATTGAGCTACTCACATGGCCATGACCAATGACTCAAACAAATGGTGCCCAAAATGGCAGCTTGAATGGAACCAAAGACATCCTGCGTAAGCCTGGCTCTGTTGTTTTCAACCACACGCACATGTCGTGCTTCATGCGCTGAGATCGGCTACTTCGACTCCTTCTCGTCGTCCAACCTCACCAGCCGCTTCGCCAAACGCAGCCGAGCTGTGCAGTACTTCCGGTTTAGCGGCGGATTGTTGGAAATGGCTATTGAAACATGGTACGGTATTACCAAAAGCACGACGAATGCTCGCATGGAGGCCTTTGACCCGAGTCTAAGTTTAGGAGAAACTCGTGTCAACTGTGTGCCCTGCTGTATTTGCTGGTGCGCTTCTTTGTTTCCACCATTCCCTCCCCACCCTCCCCTCGCCTTTGATGGAAAAACATATCCTTGTAGTGAAGCATTCCCTTGTTGAGGGGGTCGCCCATATTTTCTCACAAAAGGTGGCAAAAAAGATTTCCCCTGCCTTCCCCCCCCCCTCCCTCTCCCTCTCCCCGCCCCCGATGGTCCCATCTCAGCTAAGCTCGGCTGAGGTGCGGCGAGGGATGAGGCTGAGCTGGCGCCCAGGTTGCACAGATCCTGCCTTCCCCATGCGGCCTGGTAGGTGCGAGGTTGGTGGAAACGGACCTCAAAAGCACCGAAAACCCCCGTTTTGGGGGTCCCCTGAGGTCCCTTTCAACACAAAACCTGGGCATAGAAACATAGAAACTCGTTTGGGGAGGGCTGGTCTGAAGATTTGCTACAGGGACAAAGAGAGCACCTACGGCAGGGGCACACCTGCTATCTTCCTGCCCCAGGTGTGGTTTGGAAATGCCTCGCAGTAACACAGCCAAACTCGTGCCAGCAGCTGTCCAGTCATGTCCGCTGAGTTCAAGGCTCAAGGCAAATTTCGAGACAGCGAGTGGCATAGGGGCCTCAGAATCTCCATGTTGCTGATGAATATTTCTGACCCCCATATGACCACCCCACGTGGAAAATATCGCTTTATTGGTTTCCCCCAATGGTCCTCCCGCGTAAAGGTCGTTTTGCACAAAACCCGCATGTGGGAATGTGGCCAGATCCGCATGGATCCAGATGGCTGATTTCCCGCTTTGCTTGCACAGACCATTGAGAGATTCTTCATTCTCAAAACCAGGAAAGGGCATTGGTCCTTCGGAAGGTGTGTTGAGTTCATCAGGATGTCTAGTATAAGAAGTGCTTGAACTTTGCTTAGGGGCATTGCTAGGAGACAAACATTCAAGCAAGTTTGCTTGCCCTGGGAATCCTAAACGCCACCAACCCAACTGAAACCGTCCTGCCCATGCGATGACCCTTTTGGACGTGTGTCGCCATGGAAATTGATCCATGTATCTACACCAGCTCTGCAGCAAAGCTTTGCGAACTCATTCGCCAGGGAAGACTCACGAGTACAGAGCTGTTAGAAGCGTTTATTGCAAGGGTCGAAGCTGAGCCACACATCAACGCCGTGGTAGTGAAGCACTATGCACCAGCCCGTGCTCGTGCAGCTGCGGCAGACCGATGCTGGAGCGAGAATAGCGGAGGCCGGTTGTGGGGCCGCTTGCATGGTTTGCCAATGACAGTGAAGGAAGAACTGGTCGTGGAAGGCATTTGCGAAGGACGGGTGAACGGTCTGCAGGCCGATGTACCCAAAGCCAGCTGTGCAGCGGTTCAACGGCTTCTTGATGAAGGCGCCATAATCTTTGGTAAGACCAACACGCCAACATGGTGCAAAGACTGGCAGACATTCAATGATCAATTCGGTCCAACTCCAAATCCCCATGACCGTCAGAGAAGCTGTGGCGGATCTTCCGGTGGGTCCTGTGTGGCTGTGGCTTGCGCGCACTCCCCCGTGGAGCTGGGAGCCGATGTGGCTGGGTCCATTCGGGTTCCAGCTGCTTTCTGCGGGGTCTTGGGCATGCAAGGCACATATGGACGGATCCCAACGGCCCTTTGGTGCCAACCTTTGCCTGCCAGGGAAGAGCCGGAGACGCTGTGTGTACCGTTTGACACACCTTTAATCGGCGCGCACGTCTTCAAGGTCATAGGCCCCATTTGCAAATCCGCGGAGGACTTGGCGCTGATGAATGCAGTGCTTGAGCGGATCCCTTTGGTAGCTCCGGAGGCCGGGGCTTTTCGACTGGCTCTTCTCTCCGAGGTTTGTCCCAGCGACCCTCTGGAACCCAAGTTGAGCGATGCAGTTGATGTTGCCTGGTGCCGCCTGCGCGACAAGATGCAACAGGAGTATCCCGATGCGCCCCGATGGCTCGTGCGAACGGTGCGCAAGAAGTTTCCGGAAAACTTTGCACAAGTCAGTTACAACCTATATCAGCAAATATTGGCAGATCCAGACTTCGCTCTTCTTCCAGAGGCAAGCATTCGCAGACAGTGGTGTCAGGCTGTTTGGAACGCTTTCTTCGATGCAAATGGCATTGACGCTGTTCTCTTGCCCATAAGCCCAACGTTGCCCTTTCTTCGAAATGAGGTCGCTGGTACAGATGCATACACACCAGACAGAATTCTTTGGACCAATGATTCCCTGACAGGAGAGTCACCTCAGCCACGATGCTCTGACGAGTATTTTTACTGGCCGCATTTCAGCATTCTGGCGCAGTTGCCCTCTATCAGTGTGCCTTGTGGAATTGTGGAAGTTCCGGATGTGCTTCCTGGATGTTCTCCCACCGGTGCCCAGCCCATAGTTGCCATGAGTTCAGGCTTCCGAGACCCGGACGGATCCGAGGCGAAGCCATGCGAGGTTCCAGTTGGTTTCCAGTTGTTGGGCAGGCCACACTCAGATGCATGGCTGGTTGGAATGGCAGCAGAGATCCAGCGGATTGCGTCCATTTGAGTCCTCGTCAGGTACTGATCCATCAAGGCAATGTGAATCAAGCGACGCGATCGATCTAGCAACCATATGGCTGTGGGTCAAAACCAATGGTACCATTTTGGGGTAGGTGAGTGGATTTTAGTGGGTCTTGGGATGTTCACTGGGGGTATGGGCTTTTGACCCATGGCCATATGGAGAGTGGGGAAGCAGACCCTCCCAACTGACGATCCATGCACATCCACATGTTCCCAAGCTCAGTTTGCAAAAGCATGCTGCGAAGGGGGAGGACGTTGTGGGAATGATCAGGTTGCCTCGGTTCCACTCTGGCATTGCCCCAGACAAGTTCCTTGGCTGTGCCGGCGTGAAGGAACAAATCAACTGGCCTCTTCAGCTAGCGACACGATGGCCAAAGAAAGGGTTGCCCAAGCAAGTTGGGTGTGCCTCTTTTCGACGGTACGCTTGGCGGGGTGGTCTAGAACGGACATCAAAGGGAAACCGCCAGTTGGGTGCACTTATGAGCCATCATTATTTCGCCCTAATGTGGCTGACGGAAAGAGGGGCCGAGGTGTGGCGTTTTGCGGATGGAGGCGAGTGTCATCATTTTTCGTGGTTTCCAGTTTCCAGTTTCCACATGATGGCCGTCCATCAGATGGTTGGGGTCTGTGCAACACAACAGGCGATTGCGTTCTGAGGAAATCAGTTTTCAGACTTGGTGTCAGCTCCATCTAAGCTTGGAGAATCATGAGGTCTTCTCTTAAAAGCAAACCACACCCTGCCGTGAATCCTTCCGCCTTGACAAAAATCTGGGTAGCTCCTTGCATCACTGGGTCAAAGAGCTGGCAGGAATAAGTAAAACATAATAAATAGATAGGTGTATACATGATATAATGTAAATATTTTGTTTTTTTCTTTCTTTTTTTAATAAGGGTACCCTTTCTGTGGGTTTGTTTGCGAGGGCAACAGAAGGCAAATATGTTTGTTCTTGGGGGTCCCCTTTGAGACATGGCCATATGATTGTCAAGGGGCACATGCAAAGAAGTCGGTTCTCTCGCCTTAAAGTTCTCCTCCCGAAGTTTTGCAGAGGATGGTCTTCGTCCCTTGGAGGGGGTTCTTGAGAACGTGGATTTGGATTTAGATTTGTCCGATTTAATTTTTGCATTTTGGGTGGGTTTCACCACGGGGTCGACAGGGACGTTTGGCATTCAGCAGGGAATTTTCTAGGAGAAAACACACATTCCCGGTTCATTCCCAGCACCCAGTCTCGTTGTCATCCCCTACCTACCAGCAAGGGCCGTTTCGTTGTGTTTCGACTCAAGGTGACCATGAGAAGTGGAATGATCCCTCTAAATCATTTCCTATGGTCCTCAAAAGCGGTTCATTCCCAAAAGCCGCGTTTCGGTGGGAATGAACCGCTATGATGGACGTCCTTTGTTCGGGAATCCCCCGAAAGCTGGTGCATTCCCACCCCCCGTTTCGTCGATGACTCGAGGTGACCAAGTACTTTGGCTCCTTGCGCCAGATCATGCTGTCGCTCTGGGCGGCAGTGAGCGGCGGGAATGTCGGGGCCCCGGAGCCGGCGACGCGTTAAGTGTCTCACAAAGGTGGCGCTCGTCTTCTTGGGATTCGGAGCCCGAAAATGGATGTTGATGTTCCAAGAAGGTGTTCCTCAAGACCAAACTAGTTGACAGGTAGAATATCTTTGACCCACGGCCGAGCTGCCAACTTGTTCTGTAGGTTTCCCTTGCGCCGGTGTTGTGATTGAGTTCATTGCAGGGGGTTGAACCGCCAGTCCTGCCATCTTACTCCCCTGCGAAGCAAGGTGGAGCCCTAAAAAAGGTTTCCGTTAACACACGAATTTCGGCTAAAACTGATGGGCTTCGAGGGTTCCTTCACATCCGCAGCAGAGTGTATTCCTTTAATTACCGCCTTGTTTTGTTTGTTTCTCGTAGAATGCCTTGAGCCACCCAGGGCCACTTATTGTTTCCTCTTCAAAAGCTTAGGACGGACCATTTTCAGTGGACTCTTTGTCATTGACCTTTGTCTACTGAAGATTTGAGATGCCTTTGATTGGCGGAACCGCTTTCAGAAATGCCAAATCTGCCTCTTTGCAGCAGCCTTCCGTTTTTTCAGATCAGGCAGGGGTGGGTCAAAAATGGGTACGCATGACTTGCCAAGGTTCCGCTCACAGGGCTTTATGGAAAGCTGATCCCACTCCAATTGGATTGACCAAGGATTGGATGACCTATGGGGAGGTCCTCATCTCCATGGATCCTTGGCATGAAATTTGCGCACTGGCAGCGCTTTGCCATCGTACCTTTGCCTACGGACCTCTCCTGACATCCTTTCACAAGAACCTGTGGGCTTCCAAAAAAGTCGTCCGTTTGGGGCAGCTCGGGAGCTTGCTGGTGCTCCGGGTATGGAACACTGCTTGATTTAGGATTATTGGTAGCCGAAACCTGGCTTCCAAAAAAGTGGTCCACCAGGGTTCAAACATAGTTGATTGTTTGAGTGGGTGCGTGTTCAGAAACATAGTTCATCTAAACCCAGATGTGCAAAAAACAAGTATCAAGCAGTCAGACAATGGTAATAAATAAATGAGAAGCTGACAAAATCAGTGTATATATATATATGTATACATATGTAGGCGCCCTTGTGCATATCAGGCCGCAACTCTGAGCCTGGCTGGAGTTCCGCGCCAGAGAGGTTCTGGCCGCCCAAGGCAAACATATTGACTGGTTGACAAGAGCTCGTGGAGTGGACTCGCATTCAGAAACACGACCTCAAAGGTCCATTTTTGTGCATCGGCAACCTGCGTTCGCGGGAGCTGTCAAATGCCCGGTGCTTTCCGGCTTCCCCACGCACATGTCAATGTGGTTGGGGTCGCACCACGGTTTGCCTGCACGTCCATAGGCGTCCTTTTTAGGTTAGTTTGGTTAAAAATAGATGGCACTGGTTTAGATGGGTTTGTTCCATTTGCCAGGGCCATCTATTTTTCCAAAAGGCCACCTATGGGCACGTCACGTTGGGTTTTAATATGGAGTAGTGAGAGGAGGCACCGTTGCACAAATGGATTGGATCAGCCTGGAGGTCAGAGCACAGAGCAAGCATGATCCAAACTGTGCTCTACACAGCACGCAGGAAGTTCTCCTATGCTGCGGACAAGTGTTGTCAAGCTTCTTTTGCTTTATGTTCACCAGTTTTGGGATTCCATTCCAAGCCCAGACTTTGCATGTGACTTGTTTGCTACATCTAGGCTTGTGTCTTTCTGCCGTGTCTATGGCCATCGCCCACGTTTTTCCTTTGGCACCTTTCGCCTGGCGCAAGGACAACTCCTGGGGGTACTTCGTAACCTTCGTGCTCTACATTGCTTTCTGCGCCATCGGCCTCTTCAATGTGGTCACAGGCGGAAACCCGGTGGAACTCCCTGCCTGGTTGTGGTATCTATGATTTTAGGGTCAGACTTTGGGGGCCTCCCATGAGGATTCGGGTCAGGTTCCGGGGTATGCGCTGTTGGAGGATTGGGACTACAGGCGTTCGGTCAAGAAGGAGAGGGCAAGGGTTTTTGCGTTGCAAGAGGGTAACCCCAGAATGAGCTTGAAGTAATGTTTGGTACAATTGCACGATCCGGGCTGGTCGCCCATTGTGACAAGATGAAGTCTGTTTATATCGCCATATCTGAGGCGTGATCTCACAACTTGAGAACATGGGCACTGACTTCCAAGCTATTGTTGACACCTTTCCTCAGGGCCGGATGGCATTCCATGCCGTCATCGGGACTTGGGGCACCTCAACCACGTCCAGCCTTTCATTTGTGCCCATGCGTCATAGATTACAATAGCCTGTGACTTCAAAGATGGTCCGTGAGGCATGAGTAGAGCAAGCCGTCTGATTTAGTGCCTGCTTTTTCCTTTCCGCGGAGCACCAAAGCTGCTGCAGCAACTGTCACCAGAAACTCCAACCAGCCAGATGGCTTGAGTTCGTTGCGTTTTTGTGCGAGGCGTTTTTGTGGATGGAGCGGTGGAAGCTGCCCAGAACTGCAAAAGCAACGCTGAGACCATCGAGCCGCTCGGCCATCACTCCACGCGCACTCGCTGGCCACCTGAAACCCGACGAGGAATGTGGGGCTCCATCTTTGTGTATGAGCTGGTGAGATGCTGTTCAGGCAAATGAAGGCCGATAGATTTTGGAGGTGGTTTCAAGAGACTGCTGTGTGTGTGTGGGTGGGGTAGGGTGGGGTTGGGTGGGGCGGGGTGTTGTGTTGTGTGTTGTGCGTGTGTGTTGAACAGGCAGCTTTTGAAGCTGCAGCTTGGGTTGGCTGTCAGCTCCTCAATACTTCGTGCAATGGTCAAGCTTGACCAGCATGCATACCAGCGGCAAGTGCAATGCCAATGTTGGACACCAAGCAAATCGCAAGGTCCACCATTGGTCTACTATGTGAAAGCACGTGTTTTCGTTGATCCTGGCCACGCCATGGGATCAAGGAGACAGGCTGGCTCCTGTTTTTGCGGGGTGAAATTACTGGCTTCAGGAGGCAGCACCAGTGCTACGTTGAGGTAACTTTGTCGCGGAACGCGCAACGTCTCGTTTTCGTGGAGCGATTGAGCACGGCCACTGCTTCCCAGCTGTCATGGGTCAGCTCAGGAGTTATGAGGAGGCACGCGCCAGCGAGATCGAGGACTTCAGGACAGGGGTGACCTTCGCACCACAAGCTCGGGGTTCGGGGGCCTTCAAAAAAAGAAAGGCCTTTAGGAAGCGGCCTTTTGTGCGCAACGTTCTTTGTTTGCAAGCTGGACACTCTTACTTGGGGTGACAATATATATATATATATGTACGTCTATGTTTGGGCTGTGTGGGTAGCCACATGGCTTTGTAGTGCGTGCGGCTGAGACGCGGGCTTTGCAAAGCCTCTAGGCCAGACATGGTGAAGCTAGTTGACGCTCGAGGTGTCCATGTTTCGTGGATTTCTTGAAAATTGGTCATGGGCTCAGCAATGGCAACTCGACAAGGGAAAAATCGCGAGAAATACAGTGAAATGGGCGTGAGCGCTTGTTTGTTGCAGTGAAAAACGTGAAACGCCGTGAAAAGTGACAAGCGAACAGGCGCTCGAAATCGTCCTGGCCGTTGTTTTTGCCGGAGTCAAACACGTCCTGCTGAACGATTGCATCGGGAAGACGTGATTCTTCCACTGACGATGCAGAAATGCGTGTTGCCTTCGCGTCGCGGCCTTCGCAGATCTAGCTTAGCATTGAAAAGATGTTGCCGAAGATGGTAAACTTTGAACACCGAGGCCCCCATCCCGCCAATCAGACAAAGGATGTTCATGAAATGGCCTTTGTTTTGAAAGAGGCTTTTACCCCGAGGGTATACTTACATATATATATATGTAGATTGTGGAGTGTGGATTTCGTCATGTTTCCACTGGCAGCAAAGATGTGTCGTTGATTTGTTCGTGTGTTGAGCAGACGGGCCTGCAACATGTCAGGAATCAACAACAAATGTTGAAAGCAAACGCCCAGCTTTCGCAGAGACTGCAGGCTTGCTTCATTGCATGCAGCTTTAACATGAGGTTGCACCTAGCGCTAGGAGCGCCTTTGGCACGACGGATTCGAACAACGATGGCAAGGTGAGCTACAACGAGTGCCCCGCTGCAATTAGTCCTTCGCGCCACATGCGTGATACATTGCTGCCACAGAAGTCGCATTCTGTGAAACACCATGGGAGCATTGCAGAGACGGTGCAGGCTGTTGAACAGCACATGCGCAGCAACAGCTTAGTAGGTGCTGGAGGATGTTCCGGCCAACAGCGTGTGGACTGTGGACTGTGAATGCTGACACTCAAGTGTCAGCCATGCCAGACGAATGCCTGTTTCAAGCCAGGTTTCAAGGGAGGTTTGTTCTTCTAGACTGTGTGCAAAATAGGCCCACAGTTCTAGGCTAGGATGTCTTAGCAAATGGCCTAATCAAGGAAGCAGTGAACCGGGCTCATCAGCTTGCATGTTCAGTGTGTCGTTGAATTTGATATGTCCTGCTGGTGCGTACTACTGTATAAGGAAAAATACACATGCATGTACTAGTATATAGGAATAGTAAACAGACTGTAACTAGAAACTACCCTGTAAGTACCGTTGGCAAAAAATACGTCTCTGGACCCATCCAAAACAGGGTAGGACAATCCATGTCGTGAGGCCGGCTGGCAGCTTACTGTCATTCAGTTTTGCGACGATTTGGTAGCTGACCAAAGGTTTCAGATGGTTTGTTCATTGTTGCCCGACCCATGTTTATATTGTTCCCCACTTTGGAGGATCCTTTTCCTTGAGACGGACGTACGTACTGGCTGTACCTTCACCCAGTACGTTCTGTTGGATGTGTCCAAGTCACTTGGCTCCGTCCCTTCGCTTTAAGAGAAACCGGACGAGCCACGAACATGGGAGGCTCTGGGAAAGCCTGAAGCACAGAGAGGCCAAGGCGCCGGGAGTGGGGCTATCCCCGATGTCTCGGGTTGGCCGAGGGGCGTGAGTGCCGAGCATGCAACCGGGACCTGGCTCGTCCCCAGCTTTCCCTCACTTGAGTTCATGGAGTTGAAGCTTGTTGGGAAGACCATTGGTGGAAAACAAGAAGCTGGAACTGGTTTGTTTTCGGCCATCCACTCAGGAAGTGGGTGTGTCTCAACCAGAGAAGAGAGGGGTGCTTATGTGTTCTGTGTCAAGGCTTCGAGTGATGCAACGAATCTTCAGCGCGGTCCTCAAGGCCGCATCCGGCAAGTCCACCGATGTTCCGTGCCCCCTTTGTGCGCATGGAGCACGTCGATGTTCTTGTGGAAGAATCCGGCACAGCCTTTAAGTCGGAAGGATGCCCATGACTCGAGCAACGTCTTGCGCAAATCGCGCCAGGTAGATATGCAATCCTTTGCTTCATGTTTGTGTTCATGCAATGGTGGAGATGCCAGATCTGGAGCAGATTCACGTGAAACCTATTGAATCATATTCATGTTGAGGGACACCAGAAGTTCAACCTTTATGGGAGAACCCTGAAACTTGTTCAACCCCAAAGAGAGAACCCCAAAAACTCCAAATTCCCATTCTTCACCAACCTGCGTTCGGCAGCTGCTTGCCTTTGCTCTCGGCGTAGGCGTACTGGAGCCAGCTGAATATCAAGCCTGAGGAGGCGAGGTGAAAGGGAACAAGGGCGCGAGATGGCGAAGCAGACGAAGAGGACAAGACCAAAGCTTTGGTGCTTGTTTCTCCGATGTTAGGAGTTGGACTTTTTGCCAACTAATGGGTTTTCCATAGTAAACCACTAAAAGTTATTCACGTTTAGCAGGGGAGCAGAAAGGCCAGAAGAGGTGTCGAGGTCTTGAAAGCCTTAAATGTCCCATTGGAAATTCTGGAACTTGTTTGGGGCTAACTCGGAGGAAAGTCGCCTCGCGAGAGAAGAGGGTGCAATGGCTTTTCGGTCATCGCTGCGCACATCTGCGAAAGGGCGCCCAAAGAGGACGCCATTTGAGACCTTTTCTTTTGAGACACTTTGGGTGTGTCAGGATCATCCGGATGGCTCAGGCTTTAGAAGGTGGCATCCGGTTCCTGAAGCTTGTGACGGGGTTCCTGTCTTCCAGCATGGCCTTACAGAAAGCAGCGCTTTCGCTAGGGGTTCCTGCTTTGTTCTGAGTACGTATTCCTGAAGCAGCCCTGCAAAGCGGTTCCGAACCGGTTCGGCGCCAAAGCGGGAGGTTCTGGCAAACTGGAGCAAACGGCCCCCGAAAGCTTTCGGGCAGGCCACATTGATCTTGCAGATCCTGGATCAGCTGGACGGGCACCAGAACAACCGGGTGGACTTCAAACACTTCGTGAACTGTGCCAGGCAAGGGATCGGATTGAGGCGAGACCCGTTGTGTGGATACCCTCTAACTAAAGGTGCCTCTGGTTCCTCTCTTTTCACACCAGTGAAAGGCATCTTGTTTTTGAAGGAAAGACATCGTTGGCGCAAAAGATGGCGAGAAATGAAAACGCAGGGGCCGTCTCACTTGGCTCAAACGGGTGAGCAGCAAACCTGTGGCTGGGTGCTGCGAATCGCTGGTAAGATCAGTACGTTAGGATGTAACACCGGCGATAGGGCATCCGGTGACGCCTCGGCAGCCCGACAGATGTTGTTTGGGGTGTTTGTTCGTGTTGTTTGTTTTCATGGATACCCTGTTGGGTTCCGCCCTTGCTTTGTTTGTTTGTTCTTGTGTGTGTTTTTTGGTTTTCCTCCTTTTTTTTAAAGTGGGTACCCTGTTGGGTCCCACCCTTGCCATTTTGTTTTTTGTGTTTGCTTTTTTGGGGGGGGAGGAGCGGGGGTCCGAATTCCAGAAATGGACGAGGCGCCTATATGACAAGGTTGTTTGCTTTGATCGAGTGCAATGTCATTTGATATTGCCCGCCTTGAGGGTTGCATTGAGCTTTGAAAGTCCCGCATGACATGACGCCATTCCCATTGCTGGGAGTGGCACAATGACGACACGGGTTTGTCTCAAATGAAACTCTTCGAAAAGCTTGGCTTCCTTCAATATGTTAGTTCTCTTTAAACCCACCCCAAAAAGAGTACCCTCCAAAAAAAGACACCCTGGGTGTGGTTCAAGCCAGCGTGGCTGGTTGCCACTTTGGTCACTTTCAGCCGACCTGAGAAGCGTGCCAAGCCTGCAGCAAGGCGTTGTTGCAGTTTTTTCATGGGGCAGCCAGGAAGTTCAAGGGCCACGCGACCAAAATCGAGATGCTGACCTTGATGTACGACCACACCAGGCACAAACAATTGCAGTGCGGAGACCAGACGCGGCGCAGGTGTCTTGCTTGTGCGTACATGTTTGTTTCTGACAACACGTGCTGGTTAGTCTTTTAGGATATGTGTTGGTGTTGTGATTGAAAAACGGCGTAAAGGCAAGCTGCATGGTTTGGGCATGTTGTTTGTTCTAGAGACAAACTTATGTCGAAGCACTAGGACCCATGACCCACAGTGCGGGTCTTGGTACAAGAGACTTTGATCTCCTCGCGGTGTTTGCCATGTTCATAGTTGGAGGTGCACTTTCTTGGTATGTAACCTCACTTGCCCAAAGCCGACCTTTTGACCTTTTGGTTTTCCCATTTTGGTTGATTTGTAGTAAGGTTCCCAAAAGGTTAACCTGTTATTTCCAGGTCTTTTGGGCAAGTCAGTCACTCATCCTTCAAGTCGGACGTCAAGCGGCCTGGGCCTCATGAAATTCTCGGCCTCCCTTTCGTTGGCCTACGTGGATCAAGTTCCACCCCGCTCGCAACACAATTCCTGAAGGACTAGACCATGGCAGCTGTGGTTGCAGGGCGTCCTCCTCCATCTCTCTTTCCAGAACCTCCAAAAGCGGCGTTCGTGGCAAGGGAAACCAGTAAATTGAGCTTTTGCGAAGATCCGTTCGTGACCCCTGTTTTGAGGGGTCACTTCTATTTGGGTGTGTCTTTTCAGAGGACCCCCCTCCCATCAAATGGTGGGTGTCCTTTTGGTTTCCCCCCCAAAAAACAAGTATACCACAAAAAGCAACCGGTATAGTTTCCTTACGGTATTCCTTCAAAGCTATTTATACCACCAAAAAGGTCCCAAAAGTAATTCCTCCTGGTGTTCAGGTACTTTTGATTCCTGTTGGTTTCCCTTAAGGGAACGGGTGGCGTTTTGGTGCCAGCTCCGAATTTCTGGCCGCCGGCGGAGGCTCATGGAGAACCTCCAAGAGGAGTTCCGGCAGCTCCGGGCCTTGGTCAACCGCTGAGGCGAGCCTTACGGGAAGCAAGGGGACAGGGACAGAGGGGGGGGGGGGGGGCTGTGGGCTTTGGGGAGGTTTGGGGAGGAGGGTCGAGGCGGTTTTAGGGGAGGTTTGGGGAGGTTTGGGGAGGTTTGGGGCGGTTTTGGGTTGGGGAGGTTTGGGGGAGGTTTGGGTTTGGGAGGTTTGGGTTTGGGAGGTTTGGGAGGTTTGGGTTTGGGAGGTTTGGGTTTGGGAGGTTTGGGGGAGGTTTGGGGAAGTTGAGATCTCTCGTTTCAAACTATGTCACATGTTAAGGTTTGCTAAATGTGGACCAAATCAAATGTCATATTCTTGTTTCTTAGGTTGGTTGGATGTGAACAACGGCACACCAGAGCGGTGACTCACCGAATCGAATATCATTTGGTCAACAAATTTGTAGCGAGCGCATTTCATGGGCTTGATTCCTTCCCCAAATTACGAATACTCCCCCGCCAACAAAATATTCGCCTGGGTGGGGAAATTTGCTGGCTTGACTTGGCTTTGTGTTTGGCTAGTTCTTCGGAGATCAGGGGTCTGGAAAACTTATATGTGTTAGTTCGGTGCATTCATCAGCAGGAGCACGCAACATTTTGAAGAAGCAAAACGGGCCGCAATTCCAAGCCACTGCTGAGAAAGAACCCGAAGTGCGAACCTGAACACATGTTTCGCAAGGGTGAGGTGCCAGTAGAAATGCCAAGCATTGGTCCCCTTCGACTTGCTGGAAGTCCAAAGGCCCTCATTAGGAAGAAGGGGGGGGTATTTTCTACTGACCCATCAAGTGCAATTGGGTGAAAAAGCACATGGCACAATCACCCCATTTAGGCTTTATCAAGTAGATCTTCAAATCACACCATGTAGTTTTTTTTAATCATCTTGCCCACACAACTTGAATTGTGCCATCTGGTGTAGAGGCCCATGGTAGTTGGAATGACTTTGAGCACACGAAAAGGTGGAGGTGTTCTATGGCAGCTATGGGTAATTCTCACATAGGGGACCATCAAAGATGGTTGGTTTCCTTGTGCTTCCCCTCAAAACAATGAAAGGGAGGGTCCTCTATGTGAAAAAAATATCTTCATGGGTACTTCTGATGGTTGAATGGATGTTTGCTCATTCCATTGTTTCAAGCCGGGGGCACGCTTCATTGATAGCTCGCCAAGGCACGAGCTTGATCCTTTTGCTTCCCCCTACCTAGCATACAGGGGGAACCAGGGATACGGGAGCATTCCAACCCGTTTAATGAGCCTTAGGTTTGATATGGGAAATGGTGCCAAGGGAATCCCCACATATCCCCGCTCCCTCCGTATCCCCGCTTGTTCGTTTCTCCAACCCTTGATTTGATGCAGAACACGCGAGAAGCCACCGGCCTTCCAGATGATTCCAGATGCTCTTGCACCAGACTCCCCGTCTGAGCGAGCCCGAGCCAAGCCGAGTCTCGGGCTGTTCAACGGCAAGCGTTTATCCTTTGGGTACGTACGGGGTTCCCTTAGTACTCAATGGATTATCAACAGGGATTCAGGATAAGGATTGGCAGCTCTCTATTTTGAGCAGCCAAGAGTGCATTGCTGAGAGCAGTGGTGGCGGTGGCATTGTTTGTGCCGAGCCTTTCGCAAAATAATTTCCGATTGGCACCGATGGCGCCATTCCGAAAGTACCGGCTAGATTCATCACCCACGGATGTTAAATTGCCGTGGATCATGGTGCAATCTAGCATTTCAAGCTTGAACTGACACAAGGCAGTTGGTGCTTACGCACAGGGCAAATCAACCAACCAATCAACCAACGAACCAATCAATCAATCAATCAATCAATCAATCAGTCAGTCAGTCAGTCAGTCAGTCAGTCAGTCAGTCAGTCAGTCAATCAATCAATCAATCAATCAATCAACTAATCCACAAATCAATCAATCAATCAACAAATCAACCAATCAACCAATCAATCAGAAGCTTGGAGTACTGTTTGACGCAACATGGTGTTCGTTCAGGGAGTATGACATAATTGGTTTGCAATCAATAGCCATAATCTGCCTTTTCACAACATACCTTGGACGAGGTCGAGGAGCTGCATGTTGGCCTCACGCCTTGGAAACATTCGCGTCTCAGGGATCTGGGATGTTGATCGGTCAAGATGTCCAGGCTCTGGCTCATTTGGCTGGGAAGTGGGGGGGGGGGGAACTCAATAAATGCGAACTCAACAAATGTCCACCCACACCTGGTGACGTTGTCCTTTCGGGAAAAATATGCGTGTTGACCGGTCCTCAAGTGTCTCTGACTTTGCTTCACTGTTGTTGGCATGTGTTTAGGTCAGTGTGTGTTTTTTTGTTTTTAGTGGGGGAGCTGCAAAAACAAAGTTACTTGCTACCATACCAAGGGTTTGAAAGAAGGTGAGAGCAACTCTGATTGCAAGTGCGCATGCACTGTGCAAATTGCAAACCTGCTTGCTTTCAGGAACGGGAATTGGGAAAATTGGTATCAGGTCAAGAAGGTCATGTAGCCAGTTACGGAGTCTGCGTTGAGGCAGAACCATCTATCCATCAGAGGCCAGGACGTGGAGTCAGGCTTGAAGCCTCAAGGCGACGTGGAGCTCACATCACATCTGTTGCATTTGGCTCCAAGCGTGACCTTGTGAACATTACCGCATGTCGCTCTGCGAGTTTCTCTCATGGCTCACGGATTCGAGGTGTTCTCGCCACATTTTTTGTTGTTTTTTGGCCAGAGGCAAGCGGCGAAGAGTTGCAAGAACGGGGTATAGCTAAGAGCATGTCTTCAGGTCCGGGGTTCACAAAACAAAGCTGAACTCACCTCCCGTGCAGCGAAGTGCGCCGGACAGCTTTGGCCCATGGTCTCCCAGTTTAATCGTCAGCTCTTTCGAGCTTTGCAACCAGTACAGATCCAAAGGCCGGGGAGAAATGGAGGATTTGAAGCTGGGTTGATCAAAAGGTCTGGTGACTCTTGGGATGACCTTGGTTGCGAAACCACTAAGTTTTCATATTTCACCATACCAACTTGGTCTGTTGCCATAAGGAGTATTAATCAGCCCCCTATTTTGGCAGGCAGAGCTACCCATTTCCGGGTTTCCCCTTGTTGGAGACAACCCCAAACGAAGCTTTCAAAGAAAGATGGTTGGTTTTGTGAGATTTCAGGCAGGCGTCGGTGTTCAGAGGTCTGCTTTTGTTCTCACAGTTTTGTTCAATTGTGACGGTGAGAATTTATTTGGTACTTAACTCAGTTGGCTTTTTCTTGGCTGGATTCCTATTGATTAGCCATTCTTGTTGACCATAGGCCCTCAAGAAGTCTTGACCATGTCCACACGTGGTACGTGTTCTTTGATTTCTCATAACGCTCTCGCCTTGTCCGTGGATCTGCAGTGGATCTGTCTATCGCTGGCGGGCTTCTTCCAAGAATGGTCTTCTTTGGCTTTGCATTCTTGAGGGGGGTTGTGCAACAAGGCATCTGTGTTTGGAGGCTGTCCCTTTTTGTGATATCAAAGTAGGTAGTCCCAAAGATCCCCCTGCCCCGCTGCTTTTGTTTACTTGGGCATATTGTTTCTGTACCCTTTTTGAGGATATAGGAGGCAGGCAACGGAGAGGCGTGCCATTTCCCCCCCCTGCTCGCCTTGGTTGTTTCTGTACCCTTTTTGAGGTTTTAAGGCGAAGAAGCCAACGGACAGGCGTGCCACTTTCCGCTTTGGTTTCCCCATTTGGCTGTGGGTCAAAATTAAACCACCAGGGGACCGCAGGTTTTAGTCCATGTTTCCTTCTACCAGGGTGCCATTCTTGGGTACCTATTTTTGATCCACAGCCATTTCGGTGAAGAAAACCTCGAGCCGCGAGCCGCGAATCAGTTGGCACCAGCTGGGCCGCGGTACCACGCAGAGCAACTTCCTGCGGGAGCTCGCGGACCGCCTGCTCGTGGGTGAGGCGCGGAGATGGCCAAAAGAAACTGCCCGAAAGAAGGGTCGCCGGTTGTGGCCAGTCTCCAAATCAATGAAAGGGCGGAGCCTTTTTTTTTTGGGGGGGGGGTCATGGGGGGGAGGGGGGGGGGTCTGAGATAGAGCAAGGATGTGTCTTGTGAGTTGCCCGTTGTAGCGCTGCAAAAAGAAGAAACTAAAGCACACCAACGGGATGTCATTTGAGTTTGTCCCAAAATAAGGCTTCCCCTGAGCATGGTTGTTATCCTTCGGATTCTTTTTCCCCTTACTCCAAAATTGGTACCTTTTGAAAAAAATACATCCAGGTGATTGAGGTTTTTCTCGAATTCGGAGACAAAGCATGCAGCGGAAACATGCAGTCAGAACATATAAACAGTTCCTGGGATCCTTTGGGTGTGAGAAATGGAAAGCTGCAAGATGCGCAAAATTCCTTGATGTTTTTTCCAGCATGTTTCAAGTCAAATCGGTGTACAGCATCCTACCTACAAGCATGTGACATGCCTGAAGCTGGTCAGGGTACGACGTGTGCTATGGATGCCCGGTAGACATCTGGTGACTTGGGAAGAATAGACACGGTTATCAACCTCCGTCACACGTTTAAGAATCCATTGCAGAATTTCAGATATACAGGTTGTGCCGGGGGTCAACACAAGATAGCGACATACTCCGGCCATGTTCCGGTTCAAGACATTGCTGGTAGGGCGGTGACAGGGATGGTGGCGTCAGTTTCAGACCTACGATGTCGCATATAGAAACAGGCATACTGGTCCTGCCTCCAATGGGAAACTAAGCCAATGGGGCCAATGCGAGCAAACTAGGAGGCAAAGATCAGATATTCCAAGTCAAATATTGAACCGTTGGTCCGGGTGTGAACTTATTGGGTCAGACTCCCTTGAAAAGCGCAAAGTTTGGGTATGTGCCGTGCGACGTGTTTTGCACATGCTTGCACATGTTACAGGAGATAGGCTTGTCGTTCTGAAACTGAAAGCGTATGGCTTCTTCCCGTTTGCCCAGCAAAAGCAAACCAGGCCTTGGCATTACTCCTGTATCGCCTGGCTGGT